TAAGATTTAATATATGAGCACAACAACGTACATGAAAAAATTCATCATCATAAATCAAGCTATTTTGCAAATAAAGGTGGCCTTTCAAAATAGCTTGCATGTTATCATTAGTAGAAGCATTATCTAAACTAAAGGAGCAAACTTTTTTATCTATTCTCCATTTTTTCAAACAATCAAACATAATGGCAGCTAATTCAACTCTAGTGTGTGGAGGAGGCATACGACAAAAATTAAGTAACTTGCTACATAACTTCTAATTTTCATTAACAAAGTCAGCAGTCAAACAAATATAACTCTCAGAAGTAGATACTGTCCATACATCAGAAATTAAACAAATTCTATTAGGTACCTTGACCATAGCTTTTTTAAGTTTCTCTTTTTTTCTCAAATAAATCCTCTGGACATCAGATAAAACAGTGTTTCTAGAATGCATCACCACATCTGGATTTACATATTGAGCCCAAGCCCTAATCTTATCATATTCAACAAAAGCATAAGGCAAGTCATGCTTAATTATAGCTTCAGCAAACATGTCACGTGAAATCCTTGGATCAAATTTTCTAGCCTTTACTTTCCCTTCATGTTCCATAAACATTTGATGTGGATTAAAATATGAAATAAATTTACAAACATCAATGTGACGATGCAAATGTGAAGTGCCATAATTAGAGCCACCAGGTTTAGGACCAACCTTATACTCCATTTTACAATCATTCCAAATTGCCATTTTTACTCTATCTTACTTTTTGCCTATTTTAGTAAATAACTCTAAACATTCAAAGTTTCCTTTTTTGCCCTCTTACTCCATTGTTTAGACACAGATATATGGGATTGGGAGGGAATTTCATCTTCATTCAAAATTTTCACATCGTCATCCAAATTTTCATAATTTTCAACGGATTGATCCATCATCATTACTTTCAAATAACATAAACATGAATAATAATTATTAAAATGTGAAACAGAAGGAGCAACAAATAATGACAAACATTTCATGTACTAAAGCATGTGAAATACTATCTTACTAAAAAAGTTTCATGTACTAAAAAAGATGACAGGTGCTTATTTAAGGAAGAGGATATACTTATTAAAACAAATGTTGGGAGGGAGGATTGGCATTTATAATGTTTTTACTACATGGCCTTGTGTTAAATGTAAATAGCTAGAGATTATTTTGGCAGTGATTTGTACATATAATTATAGGTAAATTGAGTCCTTTTTTTTCTTATTTTCTATGAAAAAAGAAATAGTAAAAAAAATTATTCAACAAAAATTACATTTGTTACTTATATACAGGTTAGTTTGCTTTTCCAGTTAAATTTCTTTCCCTCTACTCGAGGCAACACGGTGTTGCTTTGATTCCTATATTTAATTTAAATATAATTATTAATGTATCTTTTGAAAAAAAGATATGTGAAATAATGATACCATACAACAAATTCCAATAGGTAATTAGAATTTTCTTTAAAAGGCAGCTAATTAGAACAATTAATCATTACTTTCCTAGATCTATATCAACAAACTTTCCCAAAACAATTCCAAACCAATCTTCAATTACCAAAAAAAAAAGAAAAAAAAGTAAAAGTAGCAACAAATACAATCAACAGATAAATCATACACAAAGGAAAAAAAATACTAAATTTTAAAAAGGCACATAGAGAGAGAAACATACCTCAAAACATAATATTTTTGACAAAAAATTGAAGAAAGGAGTTGATCATTCAAGATCTGAAAATATTGAAGTCAAAAATGTAAAAGATAGATAAATAAAGAGAAAGAAACAAAATGAAGGAAAATAAAAAAGAAGAGAAGAGAAATGGGATGTAGACTTGCAGTTACGAAGAAAAGTGAAAGAAGTAAAAGGGAAAAATGAAAGAAGAAAAAGGGGAAGAAGAAAAATGGAAAAAAGGGGTGGTAGTTTGGTAAATCGTAGCAGATTGGGAGTTGGGACTAGCAGACTAGCAATAAAGTGAAAGAGTAATAAAGTGAAAGAGTGAAAGACTAAAAAGGGAAAAATGGGATAGATTGGGAGTTGGGTTGGTTGGCAAAGAAAAAAAAAAGAAAAGTAGCTGCTGAACTGGATTTGGCCATTTAAAATAATTTTTTTTTTCTTTTGGCCAAGTGGGTTGGCCCGCCCCAACCCAAGCTAGCCCCATATTAAGACGGGTGGCCCATCTAGGCTTGGTTTTAATATAGACTTAAAAAATTTAAACCCAACTTGTCTCATTTTTAATGAAATATGGGCTGACCCAATGGGCTAAGCCCATTTTGACAAGTCTACTCCCAATACTCCTGTTCAAAAGAGAAAACAAAATCAGCTCTTCCTAACACTCTAAACCTTTCTTGAACAACATATTAACTTAGCAAAAAGCCTGAAACTTCAAACTTGAACCCCTACAGCTTTGTGACAAAACAAAACGAAACTCAAAACCATGAGACCATCAGGAAACTAGTCAACAAATTAAACAACATTCACCCTTTCTAGAGACCCATCAACAAAATCCTAACAAAAATCAACTCTCCTTCCAACATCCAGTGCCCAACCCATATCCCCTTGACTCCTGAAATTCAGAAATACCTTCTAGTGGCGCAAGCACAAGAGGATGCTAACTATAGAAGGGGATTCTTACTCAAAAACCTGCAAGAATCCTGATTACAGATGAACTCCCTTTTTTGCAAGATTATCAGCTCTTTGATTAGCCTCACTTTTGATATGTCTTATCTCGTAAGGGTCCAGTTTCTCTAAAAATCTCTCGATCTGTAGAAACTGTTTCCACATTCTCCATGGAGCTTCATTCGGTGCTTTTATCCGTTTAACCGTGTTACTCGAGTCACTCTCAATCATCAACTTGTGTCCCTCTTTCCATTTTGATGCCAAAAAGATGACTATGGCTTCCGTAATCGCCATGACCTCAGCCACATTAAAGTCAGCACTGCCTATGGATTTCGAAAATATTGGTTTGACTTCCCTTTTCTCATTCCTCAAAATTTTTCTTATACCTGTTGGCCCGAGGCAGCCTTTAGTTGCCCCATCCATGTTAAATTTCAATTCACCTGCTTTTGGTTCTTCCCATTTAATACCCCTTCTTACCCTCTTTTGTTTTTTCCTACTGTTGTGAGCCAAGGGTTTTCTATAAGTATCAAGCACAGATAAATATTCCCTTGGCCATCTCGCATTTGCGCATGTCACCAACCTGAACTTCACTAATTTCACGTATTGTTTAGCATTTCATTCTTTTCCTTGGAAAATCACCTTGTTTCTCTTTTTTCAAATTGTCTAGACTACTGCAAAAAAAGCCATCTTCTAAATCCTCATATCGATCTAACCCAAGTCACATTCATTCCATATTTCAAAAAAGGATTTGGTTGTATTTGGTGAAACCCACATATATTCACATTTTTTAAACCATTCATTCCATACTTTCCAAGTTTCTTTACACTCTGTAAATAGATGATCACAAGTCTCCTTATCTTTATTGCATAGGACACACTGTAAAAAATTTTCCTGTACTACTCCCCTTTTAGCTAATTCGTCTTTAACCGTTAGTTTCCCATGAATTAGTTGCCAAACAAAATACTAAGCTTTGAAAGAAGCCATACCTGCCTATACATACTTCCAAATCTTGTCAATCTTTTACCTGGGAGCAAGAATATATTTGCAAAAGGACTTGGTGGTGTAAACACCATTAGTCTCTCTCTTCCAGATCACTTCATCTTTCATCACTTTGCTCAGTTGAATGTCCTTGAGTAGGTTCTCCATAAACCTCTATTGCTTGATGTCCTAATTGAATATCTGTCTCCTAAGATCAATTTTCCTCACCCACTTTTCTTCCTCTCAACTCCCAAAGTCTTCCCCTTCTTATTTATGGCCAAAGTGTAAATTCTTGGGAACCTTTGAGCAAGCTTCCCCCTTCCATCCATTCATCACTCCAGAAGTTAATGCTTACACCATTCCCCACTACAAAACCAAAGTTAGAGTACACTTGCAAGAAAAATTTGTTAGTCGGGGATAAGGGATTAATAATTCTTTTCCATATGGTAGACATTCTCCTATTTGTAGTCTGGTTTGGCAAGAGATTAGTAAGGTCACTTTTGATTTTTTCAACAATGACCTCTCTCCACAAGCTCCTGCTTTCTCTCCCATACCTCCATATCCATTTATTAAGCAAGGCTCTATTCTTGACTTCCATATCCATCACCCCAATACCTCCACACTCTTTGTAATTGCAAGCTTTTTCCCATTTGATATAATGCACTTTTTTGTCCTATTTAGTACAGCCCCACAAGAAACCTCGTTGCAATTTTTTGAGCTCATTTTTCACTGTACTTGGAATCTGAAAAAAAGACATGAAGAAAATTCATAAGCTACTCAAAACTAATTTCAATAAAGTTATTTTACCCTCAAAAGAAAGAGTTTTGGCTTTTCATCCAGCTAACTTATTCTTGACTCTCTTAATAATTGATTTCCAAAGTTTAGTGGAGTTTAGATTACCCCCCAAAGGTAATCCCAAGTATGTGGAGGGTAGTGTAGCAGCCTGGCAGGAAATACAATCAGCCCATCCTTTTATCTCTCTGTGACTAACCCCCATTCCAATTATCTGACTTCTGTGAAAGTTGATTTTCAACCTTGAAACATCCTGAAAAGTCTTTAGCAGTTTTTTCATCAACTGAATACTCTCCAAACTTGGTTCACAGAACAAAATCGTATCATCAGCATACTGTAAATATGAGACTGTCAGCCTTTTACTTCTTATTTTAACCCATCAACATATTCCCATTACTTCAGCCTTTCTTATCAGGCAACTAAGAGCTTCCGCTACCATATTGAATAGAAAAGGGGATAAAGGGCAGCCTTGCCTAAGTCCCCTCCCCATACTGAATTGCTTAGTCAGAACTCCATTCACCAACACTAAAATCTTTGCTGACGTGATACACTCTCTAATCCAACTAATCCATCTTTCCCCAAATCCCATCTTACTCATGACAAGCTTCAAGAATCTCTAACTAACACTATCATATGCTTTCTCGAAATCAACTTTCAGAATCACCCCGCCTTCTGCACCTTTTTTCAATGAATCCACAATTTCATTTGTAATAAAAGAGCAGTCTATTAATTGCCTTCTTTTTATGAATGCAAATTGATTTTTCCCTATAACTTTACCAATTACCATTCTCAAACAATCTGCTAAAGTCTTTGCCACAATTTTGTACAAGCTACCCACTAAACTAATTGACTTGTACTCACTCAAATTATTTGGGTTTTGGACCTTCGAAATTAAAGCAATGAAAGAAGAATTAACCCCATATCCCAACTGACCATTTTTGTAGAATTTTTTCATGAAATCTATAATGTCGTCTTTGACTACTTCCCATTGATTCTTGAAGAAATTTAAATTATATCCATCCGGTCTCAGAGCTTTATTCCCATCGCATCCTTGGATAGTACCCCACACCTCTTCTTCCTTAGATGGCTTCTCAAGGAAGCTAGCTGATTCAGGTTTCAGTTTCTCAAGGTTGCAGTCAAGATTTATCAGCTCCAACACTTCTTTAACATTATAAAGATTTTGGAAATGTCTTTCCACTTCACCTTTGATTGCTTCTGGTATTTCCTTCATTCCATCCACCCCTTTAATTTTGTCCATTCTATTCACTCTCCTTATAATTGAAGCCATTGCATGGAAGTATCTTGTGTTTCGATCCCCTTTACGCACCCATTTTATTCTTGATTTTTGCATCCATTCTCTTTCTTGTTTTAGATATAAAGCCCATAGCTCCCCTTTTTTTACTATTAACTCATCTCGCAACCCCTCATTGTCCCCTTCTTCTTGAATCTCCATATACTTCAATTTGATTTCATCTTCCAATACTTGAATTTTGTGTGGGGTACTTTCTAGTTCTTTATTTTTCTATTCTTTGATTACAATCCTCAAATTTCTCATTTCCTCCATACCTCTCCTCTGCTCCTTTTAGCCTCTCTTTTTTTTTTCTCCAATAAGCTGCCATCAGATCCTGAAAACTCTTTTCTTCAAACTAAATATTAAAGAACTTGAAAGGTCTAGGCCCTCATTCCACTGCCCTTTTCCTGACAATCACTGGATTATGATCTGATAAGGAATTAGGTAAGCATTCTTGAATCAGATCCTACTCCACTTGAAGCCATTCAATATAAAAAGAAACTGTTCAAACGGCTAAAGTCCCCCCTTCCCTGTATCCACAATAGGTATATTTATCCCCCCTCAAAGGTAAATCCACCAAAGCCATGTCGTTGATAAAATCCCTAAACGCAGTAGCTGACTATTCACATTTTCCCTGTCGATTCTTTCATCCTCTTCCTTAACCGTGTTGAAATCTCCTCTTAAACACCACATTGCTTCTCTTTCCTTCATCTTCTTCCCCAATTCTTCCCAAAGATTCTTCCTTTCAATCTCTTCATTAGGGGCATACATGTTCATAAACCCACACATTTTATCAATATTTTTAACTATCCCCATAAACATCATAAAATATCTACTTTTAACATACTCAATGATTTCCAAAAAATCCTCTCTCCAAATGTTGATAATGCCTCCAGACCTACCAACTGATGGCACTACCTTCCCCACCATCTTTTCATTCCCCCCTAACCTCTCAAAGACTTTTTTATCCACTTTTTGCAGCTTGCTTTCTTGAATAAAAACTATGTCTGGCTTGTTGTTCTGCACCATTTTCCTCAGTGCCCTCTTTTTCTCATTACTGCCCTCTTTTTCTCATTCTTCCCCAATCCCCTTACATTCCATGTTATAATTATCATATCTAAAAACCACCCACATTGAAAGAAGACAAACCTAATCAATTCCTCTTCATCATGCAATCTTTCTTTCCCATTTCAATGAAAAAATCGACCACATCTTCTCTTTTCTTTCCGAACTCCATCCCGATTTTATTGTTAACTTCCCATATTTGTTCTGCTTCTTTTTTTGAAGATCCCTTACTTTGTCTTTCTTCTTTGCTCACTATTCTGGGTTCCTTTTCTTCCTCCCAAATTAACCTCTTTTTTCGAGCCTCTTTTTAATTTCTTTTCGTATTAACTTTTTATATCTCGACATTTGTCCCATTTTCCTTTCCAAGTTGTCTCCCCCCTCTCTTCCACCATTTGTTTGCGTTTTTGCCTCATCAAGATACTCCTCAGTCTTAGTCTTCTCCGAATCTTCCTCATTTGTCTTATAATTCATTCATTCTCCCAACCAAACTCGTTCTCTCTTTATCTCCACCTCTTCATTGCCTTGATAATCATGCCTATTTTCCACCTTCCCACTTTCCCTTTCATCATTTCCTTTTCTCCTAAATCCTCTGCATTACTCTGATATTGTTTGTTCTAAATCCTCCAATCTGCTTATTTCTTTAGCAACACTACTTACTTCCCCATACACCCGTGCTTGGAGTCTTCTGCCTTTCACTTTAACCATTTTTTTGGATTTTATCCCAGATTCCGTTGTTTGAACTCCTTTATTCAACGAAGAACTCATTACCCTACTGCTTTTGTTTGCCTCTCACTTCTCTTTGTGACTGATCTTTTCATCTATACCCTTCGCTTCTCTAAACACTAGTTCCCTTTCTCTCCTTTTTATTTTTCTCTCATTTTAATGTTACTTTCTGAAGAAGTTTCCAAGATCTTTTTCTTCACATCCAACTCGACCTTTACCCTTTGTAAGATGGCCTTCATATTTCTCTTTAGATTTAACCTCTAACCCCTTTATCAACTCTAACTCTACTTTTTTCCTTCTGTCATTCTTTGTGTTCTTCTGGAATGGGCTAAAAACTCTCTTCTTATTTTCTCCTTAAAATCTGAAATTCAATAACAGTCCCATTATTACAAGACCCACACTCATGTTTCAAACTTACCACCCTCCTTTCTGTCCATTCAGGGAAGGAATCATAGCGCAAGTCTGACCGATAGGGGGCTTATATGTGATCGTAACTTTCTGTGAAAAAGAGGAAATGAAAGTACTGCTTGAGGACTACATGGATCTATATGAGCCATTGTTTCAAAGTTAACCCTCTACTATGTTAGGAGGAAGAGAGGAGGTATCAGTTGTGGTCAAATTAGAGCCACTTCCATCTATTGGTATGAAGATGAGTTTAAAGTTATAGGAGACTCTTGGAGAAAATATATCAAATCGGACAAAGATACTATGGATAAGTGAAGGTTTGACCAAGCAATGATCCTAGTTGAAGTGGAATCTTTAAAAAATATAACGACCTTCACACACTTAATGGTGAACGGAAAAGACTTCTTCGTGAAGGCATCTATAGTGGACATTATCAAAAGTGAGCCTAGAATCAGGATTGACCATGCAGGGGAAGACACATCAGAGGAGGATTCAAGTGAGCAGTGGTTAGAAGAGGGTGAGGTACAAAGGTGGGAAGAAGGCCTGGATTCGATGGAGGGTGACGACATTTCAGACAAGAATGAAGGGGCATGGCTGGGTGTTCAGAACGTCGATGAATACAGCGGCGGGATGAACCAAGAGAGGGAAACACTCGAAGGTGAAGAACCAAGTGACAAAGAAATTACTTAGAAATCCGAGTCAGAGGATGGTAGGGAGGGAAATTTGAATTTTGAATTGAGAAGAAAAGAAAGCAGAGACAAGGCAAACGTCGAAAAGAAAGAGTCAGAGTGTTGTTGGGGAAGCAAAAACAGCTGTAATGTTATTTATTTTATTTTTTAAATAATGTAATCCAATGAGAGATTGTTAAATTTTCTTATAAAATTAAAATGTGGACTTATTTATTTTTTGTATTTTATCAAAATTAATCTAAGTGAATTTAATCTTGATTAATAGACAATATTATAATTTATAAGATACTTTAATAAAGTGAGTTAGACTTCAATATTATATCTTTGTCTGGTCTATCAAACAACATTAAGATCTCACATAAGGAAAAAATTTTAATACATTGAATCCAAACAATTAATATGATTAGCTTTGTTTTTGTTTTTATTTTAAATCATATATTAATAATAAAGCAATGTACTTTTATATTCTAAATTACTATTGTGATTGATTTCTCATTAATATAAATTAATTATATAAATTTTATGTAGCATAATGCTTTAATAAGTCCCTAAACTATTTAAAAATATTTAAATAAGTTATTTTTTATTGTGTACACTCAAACTTCGTATATTTATTTTAAATAAAAATTTTTTTATTATTAATAATTGATTAATTATTATTAATAAAAATATCAGTTATCATTTTATATCCAAATAGCATTAACGTGGAAAGTAAAAAATATCATAATAAAAAATAACATACTATCATTAACTATAATATATTAGTATGCTATATTATAATCAATTATATTGTTTTAATCAAGAAAAAAAATTTTAATACATTGAATCTGAACAATTAATATAGTTAGCTTTGTTTTTATTTTATTTTAAATCATATATTAATAATAAAGCAATGTACATTTATATTCTAAATTACTATTATGATTGATTTTACATTAATATAAATTAATTATATAAATTTTATGTAACATAATGCTTTAATAAGTTCTTAAACTATTTAAAAATATTTAAATAAGTTTTTTTTATTATGTACAATTAAATTTTATATTTTTGTTTTGAATTAAAATTTTTTTATTAACAATTAACTAATTGTCATTAATAAAAATTTCAATTGTTGTTTTATATTCAAATAATCTTAACTTGAAAAATAAAAAATATCACATGATCATATTATCATTAACTATAATATATTATATTATAATTAATTATATTATTTTAATATATAATATTAACGTAATATAATATAAAATAATAAATAATATTTTAACTAAATTAATTGTTAGTGATAAAAATTTATTTGATTTTAAATAAAAAATATAAAAAATTATTTTATTTAAAATAAAAATGTAAAAGTTTATTTAAATTTTTTTAAATAATTTAAAAATTATTTTTTATATTATATCAAATGAAAACATCAACAAAATTTAAAAAAAAGGCACTAACCGACGACAAACAGCGAATTAAATGAAGGCAAAAATCAGAGAAAGTTGAGAGAGAGGTGGAATGCGAGGGATCGGTTGTGATCCAAAGGAAGAAAGAGTCCAATTCTTCCACCTCCCCTCCTCCTTCTCCCTAATTTCAATTCTTTCTTCTATTCATTGACCAAATTTATATTAAATATTTTCATTTGTTTTTGTTCCTTCCTTCTGCATATCGCAAGCAGATACCAAAAATGTCGATCAACATGAAAACCCTAACCCAAGCCTTGGCCAAAACAGCTGCGGTCATCGAGAAAACCGTACAAACAACCGTGCAGGAGGTTACCGGACCCAAAGCTCTCCAGGACTACGAGCTCCTTGATCAGATCGGCTCAGCCGGGCCAGGGCTCGCCTGGAAGTTGTACTCTGCCAAGGCGCGTGACGGAACGCGTCCCCAACAGTATCCCACGGTGTGCGTGTGGGTGCTGGACAAGAAGGTGCTGTCGGAGGCACGCGCGCGTGCGGGGCTGTCCAAGGTGGCAGAAGATTCGTTCTTCGATTTGATACGGGCGGATGCAGGGAGGCTGGTTAGGCTGAGGCATCCGGGAGTGGTCCACGTGGTCCAGGCTTTGGATGAGAATAAGAACGCGATGGCGATGGTTACCGAGCCGTTGTTTGCGTCGGTGGCTAATGCGCTTGGGAATGTCGAGAATGTTGCCAAGGTCCCTAAGGACCTCCAAGGGATGGTACGTGCTCCCCTATCTTTTTCTTGATGGAATTTGAATTGCTTTAGTTTTCCTTGGTTTTTTTTTCCCGTAATTTTTTTTAGTGAATTTGCATTTGAATTACGCCATTGCTTGGT